TCACTGACATTCAAAAACACTTCACACTGCACGCATGCAGGATTTATTTTATTAATAGTGTTTAAGTGCAGGCGGCACAGTGTGGATGGCTGGCTATGTGACAGGCTAGTGAGCTGTCCAGCTGTACCGCGCCTCTCGCCCTAAGACAGCTGAAAAAGGATAAGCGGAAGAGAATGGATGGAGCGTGTTTATGTATTACATATACACGACAATATAGTCACCATCACAGGAAATGATGAAGCTGGAAAAAAGTTGCCTTTAGGGCTTTTTAATAGTAAAAAATAAAGCATATAGGGAGCTGAAAAATAGTGGAAAGGAATTTTTGCCCCAAGTAGAGGACAAGTAGAGGAGTGTCTGCAGAGCTTTGCTACAGTAGCACCAAAAATGTGATCAGAGCGCTGTTTTATGCAAATAATGAACATTTGGGCGGTCGTGAACTTTTTCAGTCCTCGAATGAACACCTGCAGGCTCAGCGGATCCAAATTTGGAAATAAGTCATACGTCTGAGGAAAAGACCTCAGGAATGCTGGAGAGATTAGATGTCTCAGCTTGGGATTGCGTCAGCGTTCCCCTAAAAGAGAGGGAGGAGCAGGGCTGTCGGCTTTGTGAGACAGTTTGAAAACTTACAGTAAGTGTTGAAAGATGGCTGCAGGGTGATTTGGGTCCAGCTTCATGTTCACTTCTGATTAAATGAAGGTGGATCATCAGCCTGAAATGAAATTATGACTAAAAATCTTTAAAAAAAACAAATGAAGTAAAATTATGAAGAAGAAAAATAAAAGTGTCACCATTTTTCTTTTTAAACTGACACATTTGACATGAACATCCTGGATTATACTCGCAGGACTTTGCTGACTGTTTGAATAACCCCTGAATAATCCAGCCTGCTTATTAATTCATTGTGTGTCTTTGTTTTCTCATGGTGAGTCACGTTGTTTGACCCACGTTCCCTTTCACTTTGTGATTTTAAAGTAGCTTTTCCTTGGAAATGAGGGTTTACAAGCACTTCACTTTTACTGCAGCTTTTTGTGGTGGGCACGAACGTGATGCAGCTCACTCAGTCATCCTGCTCGGTTTGCTGTGCACTTCTCTTCAACATTACTCTGATTCAGCGATTAATCAGATCTGAGTGATGATGAAATTACATTTAAATTTGTAGAGGAAACGTTTCAGGCTGCTGGAATGCCATGTCGTCATTTTCCCTGCTTGGATGTGATTCTTTGGAAGTCTGAGGCTTTTAGCTTCATAACGTTTCAGACAAACACATAACAACCCCGTGTGTCTCTGCCTCTGTGACCAGGACCTGTCCCCTGCTATTCTTACACTGAAGCACACTCTTACACTCTCTTTGTTTTCAGGCCACTGCAGCTGTGTGCGAGCACTTCGGCTGGTGGCTCCTCTGGGAACGTGAACGGGAAAGAATCCAAAGACACACAAAAAGATGCAAAGCAAGCAGAGAGAGACTGTCTCTAGAAAAAAAACCCAAAGTGAGACAGAAAGACAACGAGATGTCGACAGCACGTCTGCGTCTCCACACTCGTGATCTCCTCTGTGAGTTTACTGTGGATCGCTTTTGCTGCGCTGCAAACAGGAAGATTGAAACGATCTTTATTGTCAACAAAATAAAGTGCAGTCCCTGCAGAGTCAAGAGAAACAGTTTGAATATGATTACAAAAGAATCCAATACGCAAGAGTCATAAACACGATGTCTGCGCAGTATTTGTGAGACTGAATTGGAGGAAATGACTTGTAATTCAAAGCTGCTATTTAGATCCTGTATCTTTTGCCTGATGGCTGCATTTGGGTGTTGCTCCAGAGGAACAGCCGAGTTCCTGCTGTGCAGCTGGGGACCCGCACACAGAGGCAGTAGCACAGGATGCTCTCGATAAACATCGATAGCAGGACACCGGCAGCTTTTGACGGATGTTATTTTTAATGTATTCTATTTTGTTTTGTATAGTATGATATTATTTCTAATCTTATTCTATTGTTGCTGTTCTTCTGTTTCTTAATCTTTGCTGCTCTTAAATTGTAACCGTGATCAAAACATTTCCCACTCGTGGGACTAATAAAGGTTTATCTGGTATTAATTTTCCTGAGGTTTCTCAGGAAATAGAGCTTCTGCTTTTCACCCAAA